CTCAAGAGGAGCAATGCTGGCCCAGAGTCCCAGGCTCCTCTGCTGAGAATAAATGAGCCAAAGTGATCAGCTTAGGGAAGACAGGACAGGAATGGTGACCAGGAACACTGATCCTGTGGGATGTGACCTGGGATGATGTTTCTGGGGGAGGTGTGCCTTTCTTATTTCTTGTGTATTGTCTCATGCACAATCAGAGATTCCTCATAAGAAGGGAATAAAATGGTCTGTGCTAAAGAAGGTAAGAAGTTGAGCCACAGGTTCTTTGGATTAAGGAAAGACCTGCTGGGAGAAGTCCCTGACTGTTTTATATGTGTTCTTGTTGGTCTCTTCCATCCTTAAACACCAGCAGCAAAATCCCTCGGGCTTCAGGAGTGGGAAACTGAGCCCACCCCGAATCAGTGATAGGAATGAGGAAGAAGGGTAGTGAAGGATGGCCCCTGGAGCCACCTCTTGGTGTGGGCTGCAGGAGAAGTGGTGCTGGAGGAGGATGAAAAGGTGCAAGGGCTGAAGAAGAGGCAGCTGTGAAAGCATGAGAAAGGAGCTACTTTGGGAGGAATCTGAAAAATGAGGCACTGTTCTTGATTTAATGTGGGAAAGGCTTGTGGAATTGGTAGAGGCAATTGTGTTTCTTCTGACAGGGAGTGTGTTTTGTCATAGGATTATTGGAGATTTAAAAGATTCCCAGTAATGCTTTGTGGAGTCAGGTGTCACCATGGGCCTTCAGAGATTAGGGAAAATTTCCAGGTCTGACTTAATGCAAACCTGTCCAAAATCCTTTTGCTTAGGGGAAGGAATATGGCTTACCTTGTTCATAAGATCCCCTCCTGGCTCAGACTCTCACAAATTGTTCCATTATTTTCTTTTAGGAAAGCAAAAAGAAAACGGAAAGTACCAGGTTCAGAAAAGTTGGCTGGTTTCCTTTCCTTTTCTTTGGGAAAGCAAAAGACCCAGACAGAAAACCACTAAAAGCTTTTTATTAAAGTATTTATCTTTCCTATTTTCTAAGTAAGACTGCTGGCCACTTTAAACCTTCTCCAGCTTTCATTAAAGATAATAGCTTTTTAATGGCAACAAGTTTGTTTCCTTTATGCCCTGTGTGAGTCACAGCCCAGCTCCCTGTGGAGAGGCAGTATGTGATGGGGTTGTGTAGTGGCTTTTGGCAGAAGAGAGATGGAGAATATCTGTGTTCTCTGTGCCTATGGCCACACCTGGATGAGAGGAGTGGGACTTCCCTGCTTCTCTTCTAGCCTGACTTCCCCCGTGGCCTTACAGTGCAGCATTTTATGTGTGTTGGAGTCTGCTGGAGACAGTAGTTTTGCTGTGTTGAAGCCTTTGCCAAGGGTGAATGCTTTTGGGGTTTCAATCCCAGGAGGTGTTTGCTCAGCCATGACTACTCTGCTGTGGTGTGGATTTTCTCAGCAGTACCTCAGGAATCTGTGTCTTGGGGACACAACTGGTGAGGTGAGAGCCAGCAGAGAGGCTGGACCCACCTGGTCATCCAGTGGGGCTCCAGAGAGGGCTGCTGCCCTCTGCTACTCTGGGGAGCTGTGGGATTCTCTTTACAGCCAGCTGAAGGGGAGTTTTACAAGGGTGGCAAAGACACATTTGAAGAGGTGTGCAGTGGTTACTGGCCTCCTGAGCACACACAGAAAAATCCAGGCCTAAGAATCATTTAGATGAGATGTTTTTTGGTTTTTGGCTCAATAGCCTAGTTCAGGTGTGCTGGCCAAATGTCCCTTTAGTCCTAATGAGATCACCATCCTGGGTGGGCTTCATTAGCAGGTGGAATTTAGGACTATTTGGTTCAATGTTCTTCTCTACTTTGGCAAAAGACAGAAGAATCTCAAATAGACGGGCTCATAATCTTATTTATCTTCAGATTTGCTTCAGGAAAATATCTGAGTCTTGCTTGGTATCAACTTTCTCCCATATCTCTGTGTGCTAAAAACCAGCAGATGTGTGCAACAGAGGAATGATGTTTAAAGGTCTTTTCAGTTCTAAGCCTGGGAAAGGGAGCCCTGGCACACTCTGGGTGTGAGGCAGGACAGGCAGCAGGCACAGAATGGACTCTGCTGTGGATTTTCAGGTCAGTACCTCTTCACAGCAGCAAACGCATAGGGGGAAATGCTGACCTTTGCCTTCACTTGGACAAGTGGTGTTGCCATTGCTGTTGATTTGACTCATGTTCTGGAAAGCTCTTGGGAACTGGTGGTGCTTCTTGGTGCAATGTAATGAACAAGCGGAGCATCCCTTGTGAGAGCCTTGGAGGAGGGTTTGGATGAGGTGGCAGCTAGCTCTCCTGTGGCCCTCATATAGCTGTAGAAATCAGCTCCAAGAAATCAGATCACTTGGTTGGCTACTTTCCTTCTATGCTTTTACAGGCTTGGCTGTGACAGTGGAAAGTAAAATCAGACACTCTAAACCAGAACCTTTTTTTTTTTTTCATTTGTCCTGCATAATGATAGTTCTGCTTGGTTCCTTATTGCTGGAATACACAGAATCCAAATCCTGCATGAGTGCAAGGAGCTGTACAAACACAGAGCAAAGAAAATACTGCCATCCTGACACCTTTGCTATCAGGTGAAGAGACATAGAGGTTAAGGGGCTAACACTTGGGATTAGGGTAAATCCTATTTAAAAACTTGGTAAATCCTATCTAGGCTTCAAAATAATATTTTTTTTAATTATTTTTTGGGGAGTGAGGTGAAAGTTATGGCAAAATGAAGTTTAGGACAGAGCTGGTAATGGACGGCATTCCCCATTCCACAGATCAGCCTGTAGTGCAGGCAAGGACACGGATTAACTACCAAGAATAAAAGTGAGAGTAAGCTCCCCTTTGTCCCTTGGAAGGGCTTTTCCATCTGTGACATCTCCCGCCCCTCAGAGTTAATGAAGGGAGCAGGAGGCCTCTGGGAACTGGGTCAGTGGCAGCTCCAGCACAGGGCAGCTTAATTAAGGAAGGAAAGTGAGCGAGGGGGCAGGAGCCTGGCGTGGCCAGCCAGGAGAGCAGCTGGGTTTGGGTAAGCTGATGAAGCTGCATTTCCACCTGCCCTAGTGAGCTGTCTCGTGGTGTTCCCCACAGGATGGAAGACACAATCTCCACTGCCAAGGACAGCCCTGCAAGCTGTTCTGCTCCTGACCTCTCCCTGTGCAATGGACTAGCCACATTTCCTTTCTATTAAAGCACATTTGCTTGGCTCCAACACTCCTCACAGGGCCAACAGACACACTTTTAGACTCGGCAGTTGTCTTGCAAGAAATCTATTCCTGGGCTGATGTGGTCCAGCATGGCTTGGGCCATGTTTCCTTGTCTTCTTTGACATTCCCTGGCAGGCTCTAAAGATGGTAAAAAAAACCCAAATCCTAAGAAATCCTTAGGGCTGTGTCAAACCAGAACAAGGGAGAACTGCTTTCACTGCAGGAATGTGAGATGAGAAACAAAGTTTGCTCCCAAGAATTTGGCTGGGGGATTGAATATAAACCCTACTGAGATGCCTGGACCCAGATGCAACTTTCCTAACAGCACAGGGTCAGTCAAAATTGCAGTCTTTGTGTGGCCTCATTGCTTTCAGAAGCTAATTTTTATTCAGCCAGTTCTGTGTGTCTCAGAACAGTGGGAAGGTGTTCCTCCTACCTCACCAAGTGTTGGCAGGGGGATGGGGAGCATGGAAGCAGGAGTGCTGGTCCTGGGAACTGTGCTCTGTTGCTGCCCCACAGGGAATTGCACAAGAGCCACACAGGCCTCTGGTTTGTGTTAACTAATTAGCTGAGTAATGCAATCTCCTTTTGAATGTCCTTCCTGTTCTAGATCAAGAATGAGACATTCACTGGTTAAATGACTTACCTGAGGTCACATGGGGAGTGACTCACTGGCAGAGACAGGAATTAACTCCTGGTATCATTAAATTCCTACTTCCTAGACCCCATGGCCTCTAATTTCTAGTGCTCTTCTCTTTCCTCTCCTGGCCTTTTTTTGCCTCTTTCCCACTGCAGGATTTGTCACAGGTGCGATTTCCAAGGTGACAATATCTGACCACTGCCAAGAAAACGAGACATCTGTCCTTTGCTGCAGACATCTACTGATATACAAAGAAGCTGAAGTTCCTTTTCTTTCTTATCTTTTTGGAGCATTTTACCATGTTCTGCCCGAGCTGGCACAGTGCCACATCTCCTCTGTGTCCAAGCCTCCAGCATTGCACATGCTGAAGGTGTTAGCCTGTCTTCTAATGTTATTTTCTGTTTTCCCAGAAGCATCTTTGCTGCAGTCTCCCTGAAGTGGGAACATTCTGCCCATACCCACTGTTAGTACAATGGCATAATCACTTGCAAAAAATCAGTGGGTGGGTTTTATAAATCCCAGTTCAGTGTTTAGCAAGGTATAACATCTGTTGTGATCAATATTTAAGAGTAAGCCTCTTTGATAAAAAGTTACAGTAAAGCCTTTTGCTTCCTACTGAATAGCTAAATAATTCACAGGAGTGGTTGTAATCACTTTGAGCTTCTTGCGTTTCAAAGTAAGCAGAAAATTCAGAGTAATTCTGTAGAGAGGCAGAATAGCCAGCTGGATCGTGTTCCTTGGGAGCTGCTGTACTGGGAATTAAGTACTTTCAGGTTTTTAATGGCTGCTGAGGTATGCTGGAGTCAAATCAGGCAAAAAATTGTCTCTTTTATCATCCGTTTTTGGTGATAATCTTTATGATACTCTGGCGGGTAAGTGCCAGCAGTCAGTGCAGAAATGATACCTGGGGTTTGAAAAGTCTGCAGGAGTGGGACTGAGGGGTGCGGCGGGAGAGGAGGGTGTTGGTGTGAGCAGCACCTGCTGCCACAGGGCTGCGGCTCAGGGCTGGGCACAGGACAGCGGCACGGGGGGCTCTGCCTGGGCTGGCACTCGCTGATCCCGGGGGAGCGGCCGCCGCAGGACTCGCCCCGGCCCCGCCCGGCCCGGCCCGGCCCCTCCGCCGCAGCTCCCGCCGGTGTGGGAGCGCGGGCGGTGCGGGACAATGGCCCGCAGCCCCCGCTGGATCCCGCTACTGCTGCTGCTGCTGCTGCTGCTGCTTCTGCCGCCGGCCCTGCCCGCCGGGTGTGCGGCCCGCGGGCTCTGCTGCCCCGGCCGCGACCCCGCCTGCCTGAGCACCGGCCGGCGGCCCGACGGCTCCACCGGGCCCTGCTACTGCGACCAGGCGTGTGTCCGCACCCTCGACTGCTGCCACGACTATGCCGAGACCTGCCCGGGTGAGGGGATGGGGCTGGGCTGGGCTGGGCAGCCCCCGAGCGGAGCGGTCCGTGCCCCCCTCGGGCTCTGGCCGCGTGTCCGGGCACCGTCGCGGCTCGTGGGGAGGGCGGGCGGAGCTGCGGGCGGCCGAAGGAGCGGTGATGCTGCGGTGATGAGCGGTGATGCTGCGGGCGCTCCGCTCCCCACCTGGGCCGTGGCTCTCGGAGGTACCGGGTCCTGCCGGGGTCCCGTTGGAGCAGGAGCTCGCTGGGCAGGTCAGGATGCTGCTGCGTCTTCCTACAGGACAGAAACGTGAAACGGGACGTTTTCTGACTGAGTCGGAATCCCCCTTTCCCTCTTGTGGATTGAATTACCGTGGATGGGATCAGATCCGCTGCTCCTGTCAGTCCGTGCTGTCCTGCAAAAGGCATCGGCAGCTGCAGCTTCAGGTTTCCCCTGGCGAGAGCCTGGCCCCCGGTGCCCGTGCGGCTGTGTAGGGATCCTGGGGAGCACAGCAGTGCTCCCTCCAGGGACGTCTTCTACTAAGTGTGGATGTCAATTAAGGAGAAAAGTTACTTTAGTAAGTGGAACGATCTCATACTCCCTTCCCACAAACAGCATCCTCAAGGATCCTTACCACTCGCATAATGCCTTTGATTTCAAACCTGCATAGCTGTGCCAAAGCAGAGTTGTGCTCTAGGCAGATGGGCACACATTCCTGTGATTTGTCCTTTTCCTTTCAACACAGAGCTGGAAAATGGGTCGGAAATAGGTTAATTCCAGAGTGATTTATACAAGATATGTCTGTGGATGAGGCCAGGCTGGCAGACCTGTAGCCCCACAGCTCCCAAGGGCAGCAGGGAGCATGAAGTGGGGCTGCTGGGATCCCTGAAACCTGCCTCTCCCCTCCCGAGGAAGGACACCCAGTGCTGCAGGGCCATGCACTGGGCTCCCCTGCTGCTGGGGCTGTTCAGGATGGTGTTGGTGCTGGATGCCCCCATGCCTTTGGTGCCTGACAACTGCTGGGCTCTCAGCTGCTCCCTCAGCACCTCTGTGTCCGAATCCTGCTGCTCTTGGCAGTTGTCAGGGATAAGTGGGATGGACAGGAGCCTCTTGTGTCTATTCATACAGCTGATTCATTAGCTGAGTAATAAGGAAAATGTGTTGGCAGGATGTGGTCAGGCACTGTGAAGGGACAGCTGCTCCCCAGGGAACAGCAGCACCTGCTCCCTGAGGTACAGCAGTGCCTGCTCACTGTGAGCTGGCAGAGCTGCTGCTCTGCTGGGTGAGGTGTTTCTGTGTTATTTCTTGTGATTTGTTTGTCCTGGAGGTCAGGGACTCAGCTCTACTTTGACTTGTATTGCCTCCACAGCCTAACCTTTTCCAGTAGTTTTCTTTCTTTCACTGAGCTTTCAAGAGCTACTTTATCAAACTGACTTGTAAAGCAAAATATTAAAGAAAATGCATTAATATCTGACACCAAACCAAACTGAAGAGCACAATATTCTGATCAAATCAAATGCACAAAAGGATGATAAAGTTGGGTAGCCTACAGACCGATGCAAAGGCTCATTTGTGGTGTGTTGCTGCATATAAGAAATGTCACAATTACTTAGATAATTGATGTAATGTCTAGTCTTTGAATAGGTTTAAAAAGCTGTTTGTGTTGACTTTAGACAAAAAAGAAGAGCAGTAGCATTTGAATGATCATCCTAAAGTTTCTGAAGACAAATGCATTTTCCAGTGAGGTTAATGCTGTAGTTAGGTTTGTCTGTGTTCTGAGGGAGAATAAATTGAAGTATCAAGCTTGAGCTGCTCAGAAAGGCTGGGATTTGTCCCAGCATTCAGCAGGTCGTGTTCCACTGAAATCATTGGGACTCAAGGTTGTGCGTGCCCTTGTAAGTTGGTAATGTCTGTTGCTGTAGGTGCTGAGCACGGTGGCTCTTCTTAATGTGTTTGAATGGGATCATCCACATCTTTAAACTGAGTGATAGAGCAGCAGGGGAGCTGGGCTGGGAACCAGGGAGTTCCTCATGCCTGAGCTCAGCATCGGGGGTCACGCATGGGGGGTTTGCCTCAGGTGCTCACAGGGACTTTGGTGGAAGGCAGCCCTTGGCTCAGTGTGTTCACAGGGGTGTGGGCTGGCCTTCAGCAGCTCTGTGTGCCTGAGGCACCTGAGGGCTGAACTAGCAAGGGAGTGAACGCCTGTTCCCTGACAACTGACACTGGAGGTCCTGGCAGGGTGTGCTGTCCTACACTGACCCAGCTCGGGCACAAGGTGCAGAAATGCAAGGAGAGGGACTGAAGCCAACTGAGAATACGTGTGGGGGGAAATAATGTATGAGTCTGGGCTGACCTGCAAGTGTCAAAGGAATTGTTCTTGGTTGTCAGGTTGTGTTGGTTGGCTGGAACCTGGGCAGATAATCTCCTGGGAGGAGAACTGCTGGGAACTGCCCAACACAACTGTGGGACAGGTCTGAAATAAGGAAGGTTGTACTGAGCTATGTCAAAAAATGTCTTTTCTGGAGAAGGCATGTCACTGGCATCACTCCTGTAACCTTCCACACCCCCCTTTTGTTACTCTTGCTCCAGTTATCCCCTGTGTGGTATCTCAGTGGAGCGCCTGGAGCAGCTGTGCAGAGCCTTGCAAGACAACGTATCGTGTCCGGACAAGGCACATTGTCCAGGAGCCCAGGAACGGGGCAGAGGCATGTCCTGCTCTGGAGGAGAGGGCTGGCTGTGTGGAGTACTGGACTCAGCAAGGAACAGAGTGCAAACAGTCCCTGAGTGAGTCCACTGAAAATAAAAGTATCTGGGGGGGGTGATCGTGGGGAGGACTCTGGTTTGGGTCAGCAGAGCTGGTCTTCACTATATTTGAAGAGTTGTTTTCAGGTACCAGCCTGTTTGCCCTGGCCCTGCCTGGGTAAGTGAGAACTGAGCTCTTCACACAGGGCTTCCATGTGTCCTTCCCAGTGTTGGAGGTGGTGCCTGCCATTAGCTGTGTTCTGCTCAAAAGTGAGATATTACAGGGCTGTTGTGCTCTCACTTATACAAGCGTAAATCTCGGACAATTTTGATAGGGTTGGCAGATATATGTCTGTTTAAAACTTCTGTAAGTGGATGTTGAATACTTTTTTTTGTCATTTATATATTTTTTTTTTTTATTTTATGTGTTATCTGCAAAAAGTCACAAAGGAGCAATACCTGTCAGACAAGATATTACTTCTCTGCACTGGAGCAGAGTGCAGGCAGAGGAGACCTCCACATAGTTTCTGGAGAAAAAGCCTGATTTTAGTTGGTTCAAATCAGCTTTTCATGGCACAACTTTACCGAGTTTTAGAAGAATTACTTGTCATTTTTGCTGATTTTGGGGTCAAAATTTGTCCAGTCTGGATGTCAGCAGCAGCTGACTTCAAACCTGCTGAGAGTGGGCATTAAGTGAACGTTGTCCCCCTCTCTGTCTTTTGGATGTGCCTACAAGTAGGCTTACTCTGCTCAGGCTAAAATCTGGCAGCTCTACAGATTCTCTTTCCAGTGAAATGGTTGACTGTCATGGATAATACGAAAATACAAAGTTAGAATTATTTTTGTCTCCTGCTGAAGATAAGACCCTATGACATTAAAAGCCCATCTTTGCTGTTTTGCAGACGTGAGGAGCCTTAGTGCAGCATTGCCACTGACGCTCTGTACCCTTTCTCTTTGGTAAACACAGTCCCGGCATTAATAACTACGGGAGGGTTTGGAAAAGCGAGGAAGAAAAGAGCTGCAGCTGATGGCAAGGAAAGAGCAGGGTAAGTTGGAGGAGGCTGGGCCCAGGGACTCAGTTGTATTCCACCTGCAGAGTCTCTCTGGTTGCAGTTTGTGGCCCAGCTTTTCGCCACTCAGAGTCAGTGTTCGCCAGCAGAACGGCAGCACTTCACTGGAGCAGGGCCCTGCTCTCCCCTCAGCCCCAGCCCTGTCTGCAGGGCCTCTGAAGGTTGGGGGTTTGCCTTGATGTGAGGCCAGTACAGGACTGAAATTCGTCTCTTCGTTCATGGCGTCACTGGTGTTCATGTGATCAAAAAGCCAAAGACCATTCACTTCAGCTCTTCTCAATGTAGAATCTAGTGCACTTTGCACTTCTTTGCATAAATGGGGTAAATTCTCAGGGGCCAGTTTGCTGTCTTGTTGCATGGGAAGCACATCCCTCTCCCATTTCAGTCCCTCTTGGCTGTAACATTGCCTGTTTTCCCCTGCAGCATTGTTTCACAGCACAGGTACAGGCAGGGCTGTGCTAAAAGCTGTTGCTTTTTACCTTCTGCCATGTCTTTGTGTGCTGCCCTGCCTCCAGGCTGGTGCCTCAAACACAGGGAGCTGGCATCAGCCTTCCCAGTCCTCCTCTTTCCCAGTTGGGCTCCTTGCTAGCAGGGACACAGTGCTGATGGGAAAGGTTACCTTCCACCCTGTAACCCCTCATACACAGCCTTGCAAGCTGGTGATTCCCCAGGGGTTCTTCCTGCAGTGCCTGGGCTTTGCCTGTTTCTTTCTCAGGTTTGGCTAAAATCAGAAGCATGGAAGTGCTGTGTCAATCTGGTTGTCCTCCCACTGAGATGTGACAGCCTCACTCTCTTAGGAGGGAGATCATGACAGGAAAACCTTTACAGACTGACTCTTAGGTTCTGTCACAAGCTGCTGTACAAAACCCATTACAGGTAACAGATAGGAGCTGGTAGAGAAAGTGTGGCTCAGCAAATGGATGCCAGGCTTGGAATTAGATTAGTCAAATGCTTGACCAATCTGTGTCTCTATTTGTATTTTTGACATGTCAGTTGAAAGCACCATCAGAGTAGTTTTATTCCCTATTTAACCTTATTAAAATGGAAGCACACCACGTGTTCTGCTTTTAATGACCTCGGGCGTGGGGTTTTTTTGGTTTGGTTTGGTTTTTCTTAATTAGTGATCTATGGTCTTCCAGTTTAGTCTGGGAGTCCTGTGGAGGGCTCTAGCCTGGTTATTGAGCTGACTGACCCTCTCAGTGACTTTGCTTGCAGGTACTGTGTTGAGTTCCAGCTCGTGGCCATCACGCCGGGCTGCCTGCACAGCCACCACTCGTACACCCGCTGGATGCGCTACCTCAGGGAGGGCCACACGGTCTGTGTGGAGTGTCAGCACCCGGCCCTGGACTCCAGAAGTCAGCATTGCTCCGGGGATGGCACTGGGAGCAGAAAGTAAGAGTTTTAGCTTTTGTTTTCCTGTTGAATTTTTCATTCTTCTCCCTTGATCCACTTGTTCCAGTGTCCCAAGGTGCTGCACGGAGCTCTGTGGAGCACCCTACATATATTCACTGCTCCTTGTTGCATACCATGAGTTTCTTGAAGAGTTGAAATGACCTGGTGAAGCTCATGTATTAAACCCGGGCAGAACCAGGACTGGATGTGGGAGTACCTGCCCTTAGTCTGCTAAATCTCACTGGCTTTAGGGTGGCACAGTTGTGGTTTTTTGTTTTAAAGACACTCCAGCCAGGCTTCTAAGGTTAATAGTCCTGTCAGATGTCAAATAAAGCCAATTCTGTTTCTGATTTTTCAGCACTGGGGATTTTGTTTCTCCAAGTTTCTCCTTTTTGAGTACTTGTGGTGAATGGTAGCTGCCTTAGGGACTTGGGGTATGTGCTGGCGTCTGAGGTTGGATGGAAGTGGTAGTCTGGTAAGTCTCTGTACATTCAGCATCCTTTCCCTGGAGAGCTAAAGAAGCTTTGGGGTGATTGATTTGCACCACTCAGGTTGTAGAAATTGGGCAGACTCCAGCAAAGATGAAGGGAATGGCTTGAAGCTGTGAAACACCTCTGGGGCAGAGCCAGCAATGGAGGGGTCCTGGCTCCCAAACCTCTGTGGTGGTCACTGGAGGCACAGTTCTGCACTGCCTTAATCCTGATACTCCTAACCCCGTTGCTGGTTTATTAAAGGCATCCTCTGAAGCTGATTAGCAGCCCTGCCTGAGAAAATCATTGCCCATCAGTGCTGGGCAGGGATATATTTAAAACTTATATAAATGTTGGAATAAGCACATTGGTTTGAATTAGAAACTCTAAACTAGGATTGTCAGGCCTGAAGCACACAATGTGTTGCACTACCAAGACTGCCAATAATGGCCTTTGTGGGCAGGGTTTTTCTCAGGCTTTCAGGATGAGGAAGTCACTTTGGAGTTTGTTCCTTCCCTCTTCAGCTTGTTATGTAAGCTTTTAGATAAGGAAGGAAAAAATCCTGATGTGGCCAGGAGTAGCTCTTACCTGCATTCAACCTGTAAATGATTATAAAAGCTTGCAATAATGTTATTTACTAAAACTCTGGAGCCAGTCAGGAGCATCAGATTAATTGATATAGAAAATATTTTCAGGAATTAATTTCTGCACTGGGCTACAGAAAGAGGGGGGCATTATCATCACCTGATCTGGTGAACACTGCTGTATGTGGAATGGAACCACAAAGGAAAGGGGGCTGTGTCCTGTAGGAATGATGATCTGATCCTCAAATGCTGGCAGGCTGAAGGCAGGAGGGAGGCAGCAATAATGGAGTTGAGGTGAATGGTGACTGATTCATTGAAGTCAGGACTCAGCCCATGGCTCAGCAGGTAGTTTAAATTCATCAGAATTGAACAGAGCCTAGAAATTGTCTGTGTCACTGTTTGACCTTAGAGTGGTGGGTCAAGGAGGTTGTCCAGGGCTCAGTATCTTGCTTGATTTTCTTGTTATCAGCATCTCAAGTGAAGTATTTACTATAGGTATATTCTTTATGTGAGCAGAGCTATCCTCTCATTTGTTTCCAGAAACAATATATTTTTTTTACCAGATCTTGGAGGAAAAAACTGACTTCTGTGATCTCTGAGAAGAAATTGGACTGTTGGGAACAGCCATTGAGTGAGATGAGAGAAATGTCTGTGAAAAGGCTTCTGCCTTCTGTTATTCAAAGGGGCATACGTGAGCATTCAGGCTTGTGAGAGAGCAGTGCTCTGGGGCCCCTCAGGCTGGGATTTGCTGTCCAGATGTGGAGGGCATAAATGTGATGCTTGTAAAGAAAGGTGGAAGAAGATGGGAACACAACTGCTGCCCTGAGAAAGGGGACAGTGGGAGGCCAAAGCTGATGCCAGAGTCTGGGATGCAGCACGTGCTGAGTTTTTCTCCATCAGCTCACAAGTCACTCAGTGCACCCTCAGCTGGACTTTCTGCTGGTGTGGCTGCACCCAGAGCCGTGGGCAGGGTGTGGCTGTGCCCTGTCCTCGTGCAGTCCCAGGTCTCCACGTGCACAGTGTCCCACCCACGCCGTGCCTGTGCTTGGCTTCCCCCTCGTGCCAGCGTTTGGTTCCTTGAAATATTGTTCCAAGAGTGACTCTCAGGAAGGAAAACAGCTGACAGAGTTTAAAATAAACTCAGCAATGCTGGTATATTTTGATGAGTATTTCCTAATTATCTTCTTGTGTCTAAGTGGAGTCTGGCTTATAAACGTCTCAAGTTGAAGAGAGATGCTTGTTATCTCTGCCTTCCACCTGTCTCCCACTCTGTAGAAGAAGCTATTTTATTTTAACCCCTGTTATGCAAGCTCAGGATGTTTCTCAAAGTCCTTGGTGTATGGCCAGATCTGGGGCCACCAGGTGAGGATAGCTAGGATAATCTAGCTTGCATTGCCTTTTTTGTTCTAGAAAGTTATGGGATAAACAAGGCAGAGCATTGAGCTGGGAAGTAGATCTACTAATTTTGGATCCTCTTCTAGAAGATGTACAAATAAAGCACAGACTTGACATCTGTGAAACTGTTACCCTGTGTCTTGGAGGATCAGCTGCTCATCATCTGGAGCAAGATGTGGTGCTTGCAGCACATGAATGTCCAGACTGCAGCAGTTTGTGCCCATGTTGTGGGGCAGAGGGAGAGAGAGGATGGATGGACTTGATTTAACCTGTTTTATAGCAAAGTCAGTATTTGCCTTCCCCACCAGCAAGATGAGAGTAAGAAAGTTGAGCTTATGTGTTTAAGAAGTAAAGGTAAAGCTGCAGCCCAGAGTTTTGAAGGGTATGGGACTGCTCTGTGCACAGCCTGCTTTATCTGGGATCTTAATCCTCAGAATCTGGTATTTTGAAATGACCCTGAGCCAAAAGAAAAATACAGCGAGCTTTTTCCAGCCATGTGTGACACATAAATCCCGGCTCTGGAGCATGACACCTCATTAAGCCAAGGGCAGGGTTATCTTTGTGGAGCTAGAACAGTAATTCCAGTTTCCACAGAACTGTAAACCAAAGAGAGTTGGGGGTCTGCTGGGCCATCTGTGGACAGCGCTCTGCACAAGGCCAGAGTTGATCTAGTTGTGGTATTTGTGCTTCTCCAAAGGTCAGGGCTGGAAAACAGTGATGTGAGGAATTCCCTTAAACTGCTGAATGCTAAAATCTGGAAATGGGCACAGTGCTACAGCAAAATCTCCGTTTCTGTGGCTGTGAGGTTTTACTTCACACTTGTATGACCTACAAGCCTCCCTGTGGCTGCTGCCTCTTCACAGTGGTAGAAAGGCAGAGTTGGGGCCATGGAGTGAAAATGGATGTTGTCAGACTAAATGGGATTTCCTGGGTGATTTAAGGCCTCGTTGTGACTGCCCTGCAGTGGGGGTGCAGCTTATTTACTGTCTCCCTCTGGTGACTGTGTTTCAGGAATCAGCTGTTGCACTGGCAGGCGGTGGGGAACCCTCGATGCAAGGGAACCTGGAGGAGAATTCGCCAGCTGGACACTTGCTCCTGCCCTTCTGTTCACAGCTTCTTGTTCATCTGACTTCCCCAGGCAGCCCCAGTGCACCAGGGCTGTGGTGCCTCCTCTGGCAGCAGCGGGAGCCCCAGGCAAAGCAGCGACTGCTCCGTGTCAGAGGGGGCACCCACAATCCTCTGTCTGTCTGTGCTCCTCGATTTCCAAAGAAATCAGGCTGGCTGGGAAGTGCCAGTCTCTTTCTTCCCTGAGAGAGACATGTCTGACCCTGATGACTTCTTGCAAATCCCTCCTTTCTTGAGAGGATAGAGAATTTACCAAATAACAAATGCGACAATAAAGGCCGTAAGAACCCAGGTTTAGTTATTCTTTTTCTAAAGTCTCAATGAAGAATCAACAATGCAAAGTAAATTAACTCAAGTGCCTCCTTTTCATGGCAATAGCACTTTGTGGACGCTTCCTGCTTGTGCTTGTGTATCTTTTCCTTCTGTTTTCACCCTCCCTGGTCTCATCATTTCATACTGACCCTCATTCTTACAGAGGGTTGATCTTGCACTGCTGAGTTAATGTCAGAACTTAGAAATGAGTCTGCTCAAATCTGTGAGAATAGCAGATATCAGGGACAAATTGGCCCTTGGACTCAAGGTTTCAAGGACCATCTCTTGAGTTGCCCCAAAATGCAGTGCAGTCCTGGGGCTCTAAATAGGAAGGGCTGGCTATAGCCTTGTGGTTTTGACTGGGAAATATTTGAAATATTTTCCTTAAAATCTGCTGATTTCTATTCATACTTTTCTATAAATGAAAATAAAGGAGACTGAAGATATTATCCCAGTGTCTGTCTGTTTGATTAATCTGTGTGATGCCCTCTCTTTAGCACCTGAACCTGCCTAATTTTTTCCAGGCTTGCCACTGACTCCTTAACTCCAGCAGGTCAGGCTGAAGGAAAAGTCGCTGCTGCCCAGTTCCAGAACTACTCAGGATTTCCCAGTGGAAGTGCAGCACCACGACCTACCACTGTGCAGAAGCGGATGTGATATTTCTTTTGTTACACACATGCTTCTGAATCTGCTTAAAACCAAAATTACAGACAGGACTTGTGCTTTGGGGCAGAGGCGCTGCAGGGTGAGGTCGAGGTCATTCCATCTGTCACACCCAGGTGAGAGGCTGGGGCTGGCTCCAGCAGAGTTTTAATGCTCAAGTTCAGCTCTAGTCTGGAATAGGATCACAAAAGCCATCTAATGACCATGCTGAAGGTCTTGCATGGAGACACGAATGAGCACTGAGGCGTGTGGTGGGCGCTGAGTGCTCAGAAAGTGCCTGATGTCCTTGGCCAGTGCAGAAGGGATTTGAGAGCAGGGTTCTGCTTCTCACTGTGTGTTACAAGCTGGCTGTGGATTAATGACTCACAGGGGGATAATCTCATCCCAGAGTAGCAAGATTTTAAGACCAAAAAAAAAAAAAAGTCTTGTACTTCACTGTGTCACATAACCCGTGATGAACTTGTGGCTGTCCCAGGAGCACTTGTTGGCGTGTGAGTGGAGGGATGTGATCCCAGAAATGGGCTGGGAATAAATAACTGGAGAATGTCATTCCGGTTTTTGCGGTGAAGATTTCTGTCAAACTGAAAGCCAGTTTCATCCCTCGGTGGGGATCTGTAATCAGAGTAGCATTTAGTCATTGGAAGGTTTTCCTTGTCCTGCAGAAGCCCCTTATTGAGCCACAGGGCCCTATAGAGGTGGGTGGTCATTTCAGGAACAGAAAGGAGCCAGCTATTGGAAATGTTTTTTACTTTCAAAATCTACCCAAACTCTTGATCACACGAAACCCTGCTTTTACCAGATGCTTTCAGAATTGAGGACTGAAGCTATAAAAGATGCAATTTTTGCTTAGTAATGCCTAAAAAATTGAAGTCTTCCACAGGGGTTTTCTTTGCTGCTGCCTCATCCCCGAGAGCTGATAACATGAGGTGCTGTCAAGAGCTGCTGGTGGTGGCATGGTAGGACAGTGCTTTCCTCCTGTCACTGTAGCCTGGGCATGCAGGAGTACGAAAGAATTAGCCCCCGAGGGGCTCTCATAGCAGCTGTATTTCTGCACAGGCTGTCACTTGATGAAACAAGACATTGCAAATGTCTCTGCATCAGCACATCCTAAAAAGGGCTGTGCCATGTGCTGGCTTCACCTCCACACCTTTTGTGACTGCACAAACAAATCCTGTTGGCAAATTCCTGGGGGAAGGAAGTGTGTGTGTGAGAGAGAGAGAGTGAGCAAGAGTGAGCCTTTTAAGTAGATAATGAAGCTGTCAGATCACCTTTCTGGCAAATGAAAATGAGCTCATGCTGTTGACACATACTGGGTCCTGCCTGTTTCCCTCTGGAAGCTTTATCACCATCCGTCATAATCTCCATAATTTCTACTACCTGAGTTTTAGGAAAGGTGAGGCTTTTGGAAATCCAAGGCAAAACGCTCCCGAAAAATGGCTTTGTACAGTAAACAAGCAAGGCAGCCTCACATGGAGGAGAGGCTGCTCTCCAAGGAGCAGAGCCGTTCCCATGACAACGCTGAAAACCTTCCACCATTGGGTATCAACAGGAGAACATCTCCCACGGCAAAAACACGAAGCCAGGAGCTCAGTCCTCATCTTCCATAAATCATCCTGTTGGGCTCTGATAATGCGGAACTGCCAGTTGTGCTCAGGCAGCTCCACCTTCCAGGCACCCGCCTGGCTCCAGATGAAAGGAGGAGCAAGTAAAGCCAAAGCACCAGTGAGTCGGATTTATGTAAAAGGAAAATTAGGCTCAGCTGATGCTCCTACACTTCCCTCTGCTCTCCAGCTGAGGATCTCAATTTTTAACGATGAAAAGCCAAGCAAAAAAATCCAGGCCCTTTTAGAAGCTGCTGAAGAAGCCATGTCATTTTCTGTGGGAGAGAAATCTTTCATCGTCATGGGGTGGAGGGAGAATTGTGCTTTTCCTCACCCTAACCCTGTAGTGTCCAGCCTGGAATTCGGCAGCTTTCTTCTACATTTGAAACAGAAGATGGTAAAAGACCATTTTTTACAGGGTCTCTTCATTAGGTGCCCTGGTATGTGGGATTGCAGTCATCTGAATGTATGTGGATCTGCTTCCTTCCTTAAGGAAACAGGCCTTGTGCATTTAGAAACAAGAGATAAAATATGCCCAGAAAGCTCAGGAGCCAAAGGTAAAGGAAAAGAATGACAACAAAAAAAGTAGTTTTCTTAAATAGTTTTGTTGCTCTGAGGACAATGTTTCTTTTGCAAATTGAGCACGTTCTGCAGGAGTGGTAGGAGTCAGCAATACTTCTTAATAAATGAGACTATTCTGTTTTCTTTAGCTTTCCAAACCTAATTTTTTTTTAATCCTTCATTTTAAGTATTTTGAGCCCTTAAATATTAAGACCACTGATTCTCTTCTCTCTTTTTTCCTTTTTTTTTCCTTGTTTTTTTTTTTTTTTTTTGTGAGGAAATTTGGAAGTTCTTTCCAGTTTTAACATTAGTTGCTTGGTGATTGTCATGATACTGCAAGAGGAGGAGTATGGGTGAGAAAGGAGAGAAGAGTCTGAAACAGCAGAGATTATTCTGTTCTGTAAATGTGTCTCCTGCAGCCTAAAACTACAAACCCAAATATGAGAAATATTAAAAAAAAATGGTGAGAGAATCTCAGTTGCTTAGACCAGAGGCTTTCCACAAAACTGGGAGGGAGTGGATTTTCCAGAGGCTCTGAGGAAGTTGGGTGAAGCTGAAGGTTTCAGTGCTGTCCATGCTTTGAGCAGCCTGTGCTGTGCAGGCAGGAGCCCACTGGAGGTCAGATGGTGGGGCCAGTAGTGTCCACCCTGGACTCACAGCTGTCTGGAAGAGTGGAAAATGGCCAGATCCATGAAAGGAAAAGTCAATTATGGAAGGTTTTGTTCAGCATGACTCCATCACCTGTTGATCAAAGGGGAGAGGGAAGGGGGGTCAGAGATGACTTAAGATCCCAAACTACAATCAGACCTGCTTGTTCTCAAATCTCTGCCTTAGAGCACAAACAGAGGGAAATAAAAAAAAACCCAAACCCAGTTCTCAAACCAGCTCACATTCAGGCTGCTCCTCAGCCTCTGCCATAGGGGGGAGATGGTAAAGCTTAATAAGGAACTTCATTTTACACAAGATCCTGGCCCTGTAAAGTGCTGCATTATAATTGACTGTATTAATTTGTGTGGTTAGTTTGCTCCTTTTCTTAATCTCTGCATCTATTAATTATTGCAGAACATTTCTTGCTGATAACTCCCTGGCAGTTTTGTGCTGCTGTTCTGAAATTATAAAATGATGTAGTTGGCAGAATGGGTACAGACATGTACAGTTAATTGGCTTTTTGCAGAAGGAAATTGCATAGTATAATAATATGCCCGGGGTGCCATGGGAAGTGCAAGTTCTTATTGCTTTAGTAAATAGGATTGGGAGAATATGAGTCTGGATTATATATCATCTCAGAATTTATCCCAAACTTGTGGAGGGTTTCAAACCCCTGTCACTGACCCCTGGAGTCACAAACTCGTTGCTGGGAGGCCTCCTGTTGGTTTTCCTCAGCTCATTCACGTAGGTAACAGGTTTAACTGGAGAGAACCAGGGTCACTGCTCTGGTTGGAGGCTGTGCCTGGAGTCCCAGGAATCACACGATGGGAAAACGTGGTGGGTCGTGGGGGCTGGTGAGAGGTGGGCTGGGAAAACCCAGAGCTTTGCTGGGAGGACAGAGCACTTCTTTTCTCACCTCTTTCTTTAGGAAGTAGGACTGAAGTCACAGAGGAGATTTTTCTAAGTGAGAAAGGTTGTTGAGAATGAATGTTTTTCATTTTCTGCTAAATGCAAGTCCCAAAAACAAGGCTTTTTTTGTGCTGGTTTTCTGTTTGTTTGTTTTTCCCTAACCTGAATGCACAATCTAGGGTCAACTTGGAAGGTGTTGCACAAACTGGGCAGTTTTGGTGTCTGCAAAGACTTTCTTAGATAAAAATGTGAACAACTTGAAGGAAATTTGAAGGATAAATGGAGGTCGAAAGTTTATTTCTGGTAAGAAGCCATTTCCTTTGAAAAAGAACAACTCATCCCCCCAAAAGTGTGAGTAGCAAATGCTCCTTATTTCTACCTGCTGCCCTATTTGAAAATGTCGATAATTCGGTATCAGGCTCAGCACTTTGATGTCTCACAAGTGCTGTTGGCTGCAGCAGCGGGGCAAGGCCTGGCCCTGATGCCACATTCAGCTCCTGGCCTCCTGCACCCCCCTGGAATGCAGCCCTTCTCCCTTTCATCTTCTCAGCTGTCAAAGGGGGGGTTGTAAAAACCTTCCCCTTTCTGTGACGGGCT